AAACAATTAAAAAATTTATCATATAGGATATAAATAAAACTTTAACTATTAATTTATAGTTGACAAGCTCAAATACACTACAAGAACTGATCAAATTTAAATATTAAGCCAAATATTCTTGTTAAAGAGCTTGTATCTATTCAAATTAAACAGTTAAAAATAAAAGTTTATTTAAATCTAATGTAATAGTTTTAGATAAAAATATTACTTTACAATATAATTTGTTATAGTTTAATAAATAGTAAGTATATTTTGCAAAGAGGTGTGATAACTTAGTGTAGTGGTCTAGTCGTCATCCTCTCCAAGTGGCAGATCTAGAGTTCAAATCCCACTGGCGACAATATTTGAAAAATAGGCCTGTGTTTCTTGTGTTCGGTTAACGGCTATGCTTATCGGTTGGATCTAGAACTAATCTGTAACTTCGGTCACACTATCTAGTAATAGGAGCTTTGGCACAATAAATCCGAGAAACTAGCATAACTGAAAACCCATTTGGGAAAACCCGAATCTGGAGGTAGCAGTGATCTTTGATGGCATCACAGGAGGGCTAAATTCGAACCGGGGCCCGAGATCGGAGAACCGAGTGACCAAGTCCTATGGTGGAGAACACACTAGCTGAACCACTGGGTTGTCACACCAGAGAAAAGATCATATGTTCTGAAAGTATGAACCAAGGTGAGAGCATTTTTCAGATACCTAAAGCCTAGACAGACCAACCCTTCCGGGTTGCTAGCTGGAAGTAAGGGATGGACCGATAAAGAATCCGAGTAAGAAGATGGTCAGAATGTGGGTATCAAGATTGTTGTAAACCAGATAAGAGCAAAGAGTATATAATGGGCACCTAGTTAGGAAGGTTGGTGCTTGAGAAATGTCTATAAAAAGGCAGTACCCCAAAAAGTGGCGTGAGATACTAATATGGAATGGCAGGTCAATATGTACCAATTAGGAAGAAGTTATAGAAACATGCAGATGAATACATGTGTGGGACATGTACTGCTCTGTTAGGTTTACCTCAAGGATAGATTAGTCATATATGATTAGTTAGTCTTAAGACAGAGATTGATAAATCCAATTGTGGTTAGTAAGTCCTAGGGCCAAATCCACATTGGGTAGATGCCGAAATCTACTTATATATAGTGAGGTAATACCCTAGGTTAGAGGAGCGATGGCGGGTAGTTATAACCAGATGGTTTAAATAGGTATCCCTAGTTGGGATGCAGGTATAGCAGATAGTGTAGAACCTTCAGGTGGACTACTTAAATTAGGTACTCAAAAGATGCACGTGTGGCTTGATGTACCATCATTGTAATTACATTATAAAACCATTATCTGGTCCTCTAATAAAAAGTCACCAGGCCAAAGAGGTCACCTTAATACCAAAAAAAAAAAAAAAGTAAGTATATTTTGCCTTCTAAGTAAAGTTCATAGTAATACTGATTATTATTGATTATTTTTGTATAGTGAATATAAATATTCTATCAAAGTAATTTTTTGTTGGGGTATCCAGTATAGATCAAATTTATATATAGTCTTATTATATAAAAATTGAATATATGATTTTTTTGTATATCAATTACAATTTATCTATTAAAACTATTGTTGTCGGCAGTTACAAAAAATCTCAAAATTTTTAAATTAAAATAACTCAAAATTATATTTATAAAATTAAGTTCTATGATTTAACAAAATATATACTATGTATATTCTTTTAATTTTAAATAAAATTATAAATAAAATCTGAGTACTATTATTATCTGCAACAAATAGATTATTTCAATAAATTTATTAAAAAAATTTATTAAAAAAACTCTAGTTTAAAATATATGTGTTGCCAACAATTTAAATATAAACTATATTTAAGAGTAGAGGTAGTGTTTGTAGTCGATTTTGCATAGTTGATTTTTATTGACTTAGCCAGCTTAGTTAGCCAATTTTTTAAAAATCAACTTAGTCGATTTTATATTAGATTATATTAAAATAACCAATCAGATTCAATACATTACTTCTTTTAGTATATAGTACTAAAAGTAAAGGCCAAAAATACTAAAAAGAAAATTAACAAACAAGACAAAATATCTGATAATTCTGGAGGTAAAAAATATTAATCAACTTTGACTTAGTTGGCTAAGCCAAATTTTAAATATTGACTTAGTTAAATTAATAAATAATGGTTAACTACAAACACTAGATAGAAAGTATATAGATCATTTTTATATAATATGTATAGCAAATCAAGACCTTATATATATAGTAAAAATTTGCTACTAATAAAAATTTTTAAAAATATAATTAATTTTTGTCAAATTTTGTAAAACATAGATTGTATTTTCTATTTTTTTTTTTTTTTGAAAATTTAGCAATCTTGCCTTTACTTTATTAGACTTGGAATATTATACTGAGAAATATTACAAATTTTCGAAAAACAAGACTCTAAGATCAAGTCTTTATGATGTCTAAATTACAAGTATTAGCTCATCCGGCTCTTTGTAATCGAAGTCCAAATTACCCATGTGTGATCTGCTATAAGCAGAATTCTCCTCCGTAATATTCACTTCTGCACTTGAAAAAAATAAAACTTCACCGGAAGGTTTCTGCTGGCCCATCAAGACTACTTATTCCTTCTTTAAAACTTTTTCTACCTAGATCCAGGCAAAATAGTTAATCTCTTACTTTTCTATAAGAAACAAAAAATATGCCACATTTATGAAAGAAAAAAATATATCTAGGAAAAGAAAGAGAAAAACAGAAAAAAAAAGAAAAGAAAAAAAATATAACTAAAAAAAAATTTTAAACAGAATTCTAACATAATAGGAAAAAGATGAAAAAAGCAAAAAAAAGAATAGAATAGTCCTGATGGATGGACGCACCCAAAGAAAGAAAGAAAAAGAAAATACACTATTATAACCTGTGCCAGGTAAGTATAAAAATTATATAACAAATACAATATTTGTATATCTCTATTGTAAAGCTCTGTCTTAATATTCGATTTTTCTTTTTGACCTTATGACCGACTCCAAATAACTACGTTGTGTCTATCCTAATTTGTATCTCGAGCCAGATGCTGCCGCCATCCGTAGACCTGTATCTCAAGCCACCTGCTACTGTTATTAGGGGTTCCATACCAGGTGCTCGATCCTAATGCGCCGTATCCGTAAAACACATGGTTGCAATTTATTAGGTTGTCCAAATTTAGAAAGTAAACAATGCCGATCTTTTGGAGGGAGTAAGCCAAATCCCTACTTTTTGTCGAAAAATTTGAAAGAAAGGCAGGGAAGCGAAAAAAAAAATAGTAGGTACCACTTGGCCAGAGAAAAGGAGTGCGGCTTAAAAAAAGCCTGTTCTTTACTGTTCTCTAGTTGTTTCACAACCGATAGCTTCATTGACAGAAGGCTTGAACTTCTATCACCTCCACCTATCTACCAAAATTTCATATATGAGGGCTCTATCTTCTGCCAGTTATTTTATATACAGACACTTTTGGCTTGTATGTCGAATATATAAAGGAGTCCCCAAGCTAAGAGAAAAGATTGATCTTTATAAAAACCGCCCTGTTGAATTCACCTTACTACAGGTTACTACTCTCCAGTATCGAAAAAGGCTTTTCTTTTCGTCAGAAAATTTGGTTCAAGTGATCATCAGAAAGAGTTGTATAATAATCATATAATTGTATCTTCTATTTATAGTAGTAAAATTTTTAAAGACTATATTATTTTAAAAAATACACTTCCTTATATAGCTAAATTTGCTAAGATAGCTTTAAATTTGCTAAAATTACAAAAAAAAAGAATAGTAAAAATATTTCTAAATCAGATATTTACCCAATTAGGTTTGTGTTTACTATGTAATCTGTTATACAAAAAAATTTGCTACACATATTATGTGATAAATAATTTATGTACTCTCCACCCTTAAATTGGCAGTTTTCTTTTGGCAACACTTATATAGATTCTAATAAAAATTTTAAAACTATTAGCATGTAATTTACAAAGAAGATACAATTTGAAGTTTAAAATCTTATATGAAACGATTATAAAAAATTATCAAATTTCAAATTGTATTTCCTCTGTAAGTTATATATTAACTAGCTTAAAAAATTTGCTCAATTACTTAACAGAACCTGTATTTTAAACTAATAAAGTGTTTTTTTTTTATTATTAATAAAATTTATAGCAATTTCATTATGCTCATTATACAAAAAAATTTATATTTAATCTTTATATAATACATTAAACACCCAGTAAAATGTTGTGTTCTCAAAAGATACTTTAAAGTGTATAAATAAATTACCTGGGCAATTGATTTACATCAGCCAAACAGATGAATTCCTTCTATAAGGTGATAGTATTTCATACAGATATGTTCACTCTGGCACACTTTATTAAACTATTGCAGCTTTATATCATCTATTGGAATATTAAATACAATTGATTTAAGAACCAACTAAAATTTGCTTCTGACCTATTTTAGCCAATCAACTAAGGTGCTTGAAAACACTCTTAATCTGCATTTGCATGATGAAATTTTAACAAGTCATTCTTTGATTGACTACTTAAATTAAACTATTATATGGGTCTGAAAATAAAGAACTAGATAGTCTATATTAACAGGTTATATAAAAAATTATAAAGTATTAGAATTAACACTAACATAAAGTTGATGTAATGACTCTTATTTAGAGCATTATCTGGGTTAATAGTTATATAATTTACTCTTAAAGGTTTAAAAAGTAGAGCTTATAGAATTTTACAATTTTGTATTATATTAATATATAACAAATATTTAAATCAGTAACTGAAACTTTGAATTCATCTATTTTCTATATCAAAAATACTGGATTACTAAATTTTATCTATTATCTATAACCTAATTCATGACCCATATAATCTGAGTTGGGCCAATTTTTGATTCATGACTTATCAAGAAGCTAACTTGTATAGATTATCTAACCCACCAAGAAGCTAACTTGTACAGATCAACCTAACTCAGGTAAGGGCTTTAATATGTGTAAAAGATTTATATTTAGATTTATGTTAACTTATACAATTGTACAATCAATAAACAACTTCCAGTTCCTGTGAGTACTAGGAAAAAAATACTAGCTAGTTGATAATCAATTCATGATGATATTAATTTAAAAAAAGCATAGCATACATGTTATATATAATTAATTGGATCACCTGGCTATTAATGCCATAATTTTATTTGAGAATGTGCAGTATATATCTGTATGATTAACCACAGCTGCCGCAACAAATTTGGACTGGCAAATTCTTGATTTTGATTGGCTAAGAGCAATAATAAAAGATTAGGCCAGAATTACTCATAATTTTACTAATGAAATAATAGCCGTCTATTAAATGAAAATTGTTCCTGGGCCAATTTTACTATAATGTGGGCTTATTTTTTAAGAATTTCTATTTTTGTAATAAAAAAATTAAAAAGTTAATTCTAGCCGGAAATTAGTAACCAAAATTGTAATGTGGGGCAAAATTTCAAAGATCCTCGGCAGTTAGCCAATCAAAATCGAGGATTTGCCGGTCCAAATTTATTGTGGCAGCTATGGTTAATCATTGATGTACAGACTGAGATGAGATAACTCCTACAGGGAGATCCCCAAAATCCTGGGTCGGAAGCTTCGGAAGTCTGGTCGGAAGGGCCGGGTTGATCAATTTTGCCCCAAGATCACTAAGAATTTTATTAATGAAACAATAGTCGTTCATTAAGTGAAAAGTGCCCAGCTGATAATTTTACTATTAGTCTATAGCTCCCTCTAACCCTAACCCAGCCCTAATCCCGACCCTAACCATGACGCATTCCGGCCATTACGACCCGGAAATTTGGGGATCCCCCTGTAGAAAATAGACAGGACATGCACCCGGATATAGCAACTATTGCGCCGGGTGTCACCATCATCAGCTGAATTCGAGATGTGTAGCAATATTCGGTGGTTTCCCACACTGCATAACACAGGCCGACTTTGATATAAAGCTTTTAGAACACCACAAACGGCAAGATTCTGCCTGGGTAGGAGGGTTCGGGTGCAAATCTCGCTCCGTATTTACGTGATGCAATCGTTGCCTTCTTCTATATTGGCTATTTTATATTGGATCTATTGGTGAGACTAATGTTAATATATTCGCACGCTATTCATAGGGTTCCCAAAACAGGCAACTGATTAAAGGTACGTATCATCTGAATTCATATGCTCTTATGCGCCTGTCAGCTCATTGTTTTTTCAATTCGGTCAAAACAGCAATACTGATTTCGGTTGGTATCTTAGCCTGCACAATTAACAGGCCGTGACCTGCTTAGTCATCTTTTCGATCTGTTGACTTGAACGAATGATCGAAATGCAATAATTAATAATGATCACAGGAACATTGTAATTCATGATCATCTTACATATATCTATATAAATTTTTCCATGTTCAGGTCACATTTTCATAAAAAATGGTAAAGCGCACAACCCATGATTGAGTTATAAAGATTATGACAAAATGTCGTAATTTTATTATTTTTTGTTACTCGCAAAAAATGTATATAATTTCTCACGTTTTAGATCACATTTTCGGATCTGATCCAATCAAAAACGTACAACCCAGAATTGAATGAGAAATGATCAAATTTTTCTGTGATTATCAATTCATCAGGGCGGCAGAAAAAAAAAGAAAAAGAGAGAAATAACGAAAACAGGTATAGTATACTGTAATGAACTGCATGATTTTTATACAAAAATAAAAAAGTTTATACAATCATGGCTTTTTTACTATCTTGCAAAAGTAAAAGCAAGAGCAAGCACAACATTAACATCAACATCAACATCAAGAGCAAGCACAAGAGTATAGTAAACTATATACAACGCTTTCAAGTTTGTGATACAGCAAATTTCATTTTTTAGGATTTTTTCACTATAAATGGAGAATAATATCACATATTTAGAAAAAATATGTTTCACGAACTTGAGATCGCCACACAAGGATGTTAAAAAAGTGTAAGATCGGCATTTTAATAGTTGAGATTTCTCTAGATCGTTTTTTTCACAAATGTCTTCGTCACTTAGTCTAATTGTTCGGAATTCATGTCCCTTATTGAATATTTTCTGACCGAGAGTGTATCTTTCACCTACTTACTCCATTCATAAAAGATCCTTGATAAGCAAGACCAATTTTAGGATCTTTTCGAGAGATGAAACAGGCTTGATTCGCATTAGTCCTTCAGCGTCCAAATTCCGAAAAGAAGATCTTGAAGCGCTGAACATAGTTTTTCGCCCAGCTTCATCTGAAGATGCAGTCATTCCGGCAATTAATGGTATGTCTAATGTCTTTTTCTCTTTATGATTGCACACTAACAATTTTAAAATATTGTACAGTAAAAGACTATCCGAAAAAATATGAGATCCCTGAAATCAACTCATTAATTCGTGGTGATCCAAATTTCAATGTTAACAATTTCAAGAAAATTCAGGATAATCGTGTCAAAACGTTTATCGACAAACTGCACGATGTAATCAGGATGGATGTTGCTAAAGGCACGGATGAGTCTACGACTGACACTTTGGTATCAGATATGCTAAGTCATGCTGCCGATATGGATAGTTGGCCCTTTATATTTCGGTGAGTGCCACCGAAAATTCTTTTTGTGGTACAATTCAATAATTAAATTTTGCACGTACGAAATCTAGCCGCCATCCATTTTGCGAACTAGTCATTGGTGGTAAAGCTGTGTCAGCTAGACCTGAATTTGTGATTGATAAGGGTCGGATTGCTATAGTTGTTATAGAGGTATGTATTAGGGTTCTGTAAATGCCCGTGCCCGGCACATTGACACCAGGCCAGGCACTAGTGCCTTATGTCATGCCTATGCTTATAGACACAAAAGGGCATAAAATACCAGGCACATTAATGGTATGGGCACAAAAGTGCCAGGCACTAGTAAAGGCATGGGCACAAAGTGCTGGGCATAAGATGCCAAAGTGGTGCCAAGCACAATTAAATAATAAATATCAAATTTCTGTACCTGTGTCCACGCCCATGCCAAATTTTTGTGCCTGTGCCCATGTCAATGTCCATGCCAAAGTTTTTCCAAGTATTCATGTCTATGCCTGAGCCTAATTTTTTTGGGCACAGGCACGTGCCCGGGTTGCAGAACCCTAGTCTGTATGTTTCTTAATGTTCAACAGTTCAAATTTTTGTTCGCTTAGCTAATTTTTTTAAACAGGACAAACACTTGAAAAATAAAATGCTTACTAAAGGGACTGGTTTCGGAGAAGTACAACTTGCCGCTGAAATACTCGCCTGTGGTAGTGTAAATTTACGTGATGTTTATATGGGTGAATATGTTGATCAAGAAATATTTGCCATTCGCGTTATATCTAGTTATTTTACATTTTACCGTACTGTAATTACTGCATCTTATTGGGAAGAACTAGATTTAAGTCTGCCAAAAGAACAGATGGTTATGATTGAAAGATGGCCACCTAAAAATGGTAAAGATGAAGGTTTAGACATTGCGGAACTGGGAGGAAGAAAAGCAGTTCTAATGGCGTTGGCCAAAATTCGAGAACATCTTTTGCAGTAGTTATTATTTATAATAGGATTAATTTGGCTGTACATAGAATTTCTGAAATTAAAATCAAAAATCTAACAGTTAGTGTTTCGATCCTAATTTTTAAGGACCGTTCGGATTAAATTTTGATCCTCTTTGGTTTATCCGGATAACAATCCGAATTTAGATAAATTCGAATTCAATTACTGTATTAAATCCAATTCTATCTATGGTTTACATGTTTTACTAGATTACTCATAGCTTTACTGACTACTCTAAGTGTAAGTGATGCCAAATGAACTTTATCTAATAGAAGTTACTTTTAAATACCGTAAGGTTAAAATGATTAAATGCATAAGAGCTCACAGGCTTTCGTTTGGCAACCTGGATTTATTAATGCACTGTATATTTACTAAGTAATAATTCTTATGGTTTTTTTAATAACAATTAGATTATTATTTAATTTTAGCAGATGAATATAATTATTTTTATTAATCCGAGTAATTAATATAAACAACTAAATTCATGAAAAGTTATTGTTCAATACCTTTTTCGTTCGCGTTTATCGCTAGCATAAGTTCATTATTAATTGATAGGGCCGACATAATTTTTTATTATAAACGATTTATTGATCGATAATTTAATAATAAAATGTAAAGCCACGATGCAGCATATAATGCGAAGCAATAATTTTCCTTTCATTAAATTCCATAATCAATATTTACGTCTCTCTCAATCCAGCGTATTTATCATCAAAGCCTATCAGTTGTGACCAATCACATAAAAATATTTCTAGGATAATTCTTATCCATAATCCATTATTAATTAGGATCCATCCGTTAAAAATAACGAATACGATTATCAGATCCATCCGAATTGGTCGGATTACGGATCGAAACACTACTAACAATATTATGTAAACATTGGCTGTGTGAATAATCAGTGCAATACATAATGCATATCCTTTTTTTGATAAAAAGTACTTGAAATTCTATTTTCATTCAATGAGACCCAATTCTCGAAGGTGTTCCAGAATAACTATTTGGGTCTTTGTAATACCAAAATGTATCTTGAGGTGATTCAACTTTCTTCACACAATTCTTTCTTGAGTTGATCCTGTGTAGTGATCCGTACCGTCTAAAGAAACCTGACATCGGTTGAGCAATAAGCCAACTGGTTGAGAATCGGTTAGTTAAAAATTGTGTCAACTATCGGTTGAGCGATAAGCCAATCGGTTGAGAACCAGTCTGGTTAAAAGTAAACCTACCTAGGTTACCCGATTAGTCATTGGATTAATTAAAAAAGACAATGTAATTAACAATTAAAGATTTAATATCGCGATAAATCGGTGATTGCATAATTAATAATAAAACTACTTTTACATAATAATCGTCTTTAAATTATTTATTTTTTAGTTCTATTTATAATAGTTCATAAAATATTTATTGTCGCGGCTGATGCTGAAATTTATAACTATTTTTATATGAAATTTTAAATTTTTTTTAGGGTGTTTTTTCGCTTTTTTTTTAAGGGTTAGGTTAGGGTTTAAGTTTAGATTTGATATTTAAGGAGTATAGGTGGATTTTAGCAGGGCTTATATTTTTAAATCGAGCCTCCGAATTTCAGCATCGGCCGCTAAATTTATTATATAAAGAGATATTTATGCCCAAATCCTATAGTTAGGGTGAGAGGCACAGGGTTCTTGAGCATGCCCCTAGGCATGCTCTTTTATTTGATATTTTAAAAACATATATTAAGTTAAGATGCCTTCTGATTTGTTAATATTATAATATTAACTGCTTCTACAAAAATAATAGTATATTTTTATAGAGGCATGAAGAAGCATTCCTCTTGTCCAAGGCATGCCCCTCTGGGTATGCCCAAAAAATTTCATGTGCCCCTCACCCTACCTACAGTACAAGCTATTACGTTTGACAAACCTCGGATTTTGATACCTATCGGTTGACCCATCAGCTAACCTGCTAACATGCTAACCTTCACCCGGTTGGTTATAATTCCACCTGGATAACCAACCCAACAACGGTTGACCCGGAGCAGGGGACGATGATTTTCTGCGTTCACGGAATAGATTCAGATCATTTTTAAATCTTGGCCTGGATTTAGGATCTAAAGTCATCATAATGCTGGCTGACATTGATTTGGCCAGAACCTGCGGATTATAATGCTGGCCGACTTTACGTAATTGTGGTCAATCGCAGAATTTTTGCAGAATCACGGACGGAACTGGGGTCCTTTAAGGGACCCCCGGAACTGGCATTTTGCCACCGCAGAAAACCATCGTCCTTGCCCGGGAGTTGCTGACTTACTCTCAAAATCTCTCAACAATTCTTGTAAATAAACGGGCGGGTGACCTGGGGTAGAATTTATACCGGGCCTAGGGATCCTCATTTTCTGCTGCGATAGACTCCAAATTCTGCCTGTTTTACAAATCAGTTTATGCGAATTATTCGATAAATTTTCAGAATTTTGATGCAAATTATGCAATAAATTTTTTAGAATTATACTGCAAATTATGCGAATCAAGTAAAATTATGCGAAAAGTTGCGACTAGATTTTTTTATACAGTATCTTAAACCCGATTAAATAACTGGTTCCAAATTATAGTTGCGACTAGAGGTGTGAATGCTTGCTGTAATTATAATGTGTTATGGCAAAAAATGCCCGTAACTCATTATAGTTACAACAAGCTACGTTATTACATTTACACCTCTAGTTATCAAAAGCTACTTCATAGACAGACATTCGTCTGATTGGCTGATGTAAATCAATTGCCGGGTAACTTATTTATACAGTTTAAAGTACTT